TCGAGCCCAGATGTGAAAATTTAGTGTTTCGCCCAGTTAGTTGATCCCCCAAAGGGGGCTTTCTGGGGTCTCCAGGGGTTTGGCTGCCGGTGAACGTCGCGGTCTCATGGACTGATTGAAAAACGAGAGCACGGCGCCAAAGAACTTCTTTTTGATACCCCAAAGTGGTTTTGATCAATGGACACGCTCACGCGTCGAGGCTTCAGCCTGCAAGCGCGTACCTGGTGAGAGCCTTACTTGGGCACGTCTTCGGACCCCATGGGCGGAGAGTCTCTGCGCTTCGAGAACAGATGTCAGGGTCTGGTTCGTCCGACATGGGTCCAGGGGTCCGTGAAAATGAAGGAGCCGTCAAGAAACCAACCAGATGCGGCCTGTTAATGCTGGGAAAGGAGTTTGAGGGATATCCATGGAATCTGAAACAGGGTTTGTTCTATGGTGGCATTACTAGCTGTTGGATGGTGAACTTCAGTGAAGCAGCAGGACACCAACCAGGTGAAAAACTGCTCGATATTTTAGGAACTCCTAATAAACCCAACTTACTAGTGCGTCGGTTGGTTGTTTTGTTTGGTTGGTTGGTTGGTTGTGCTGGCTGGCTGGCTGGCTGGCTGTGTTGGTTGGCTGGCTGGCTGGCTGGCTGGTTGGTCGATGGCTGGTTGGTTGGCTGGTTCGTTGGCTGGTTGGTTGGTTGGTTGGTTGGTGGTTGGTTGGTTGGTTGGTTGGTTGGTTGGCTTCATGCAAGGAGTGGGGATGTTTGCACCTGGAGGGGGACATGAGCGGACTTGAGTACCCGCTTTCGCTGTCGTCTCGCTGTGCCGTGCTTCAGGTGCCTCGGCTCTGCGGCACCCCGGGCCTGCTGACGCTCATCGTGCTGCAGGCCACGTTGAGCGGCGCCTTCCGTGACACCGCCGCGGTGCTGCGCCTGGCCGGGCCCCGGGAAGGGGGGGGGTGTGGAGAGCCGGAAGTGGGGAAGTGGGCGATGGCGGTTGGGTGGCTTTGGGGGGGTGCCCGTTTCGGCAGGAAAGCCAAGATTTCTTGTGAAAGTCACGTAAAACAGACACGCCCATGTCTTTCTTCTCGGGCATTTAAGCAATTTAAGGATCATACCCGGTTTACGATTTGTCTTCCTGTGGGCTATGTGAAAGGAACACACATGCGACGAACTCCTCGAGTTGGACAGAATTTGCCAACTAGGTTCCTTTTTGAAGGGACCCCGTGGTGGGTTACGCAAGGGGGGTTGGGCCTTTGCCTCCATCACGGTTGGCTTGACCCCCTGGTGGGTTACTCAAGAGCGGCTTGAACAATTGGGGTGAAACAACAAAACCGTGGCTCTCCTTAAAAGGCAAACATCAAGGCACGTGGCGCTTTATTGCTATGTTGAAACAGTTGAAACAGTCGGTCTGCCAAAGCCATAGGTGTCCTTTTTGGTTGTTTTGGTAGACAAATAGATGGCCCTGGTTTACCTGGTGGTTTAATCATCTACCAGGGCCATCTATTTCCCCTAAAAGGACACCTATGGTCAAAGCCTGTTCCCAAAGGGCATGCGGGACTAGTATGGATAACTTAGTTAGGCAATGTGAGTTGTCATTTAGCGGTTCAAAGGAAGTCCTCATGAGTGGGAGGCTGATTTTGCTGGTTGCAAGCGCATTGAATCTTGGAAACTCAGTTTTTTGGCATGTAAGAAAAGGGGCTTCTGCAATCAAAGACCCTTTTTGATGCTTTTGAAGCGGAACCTTTGCCGGGGGGGAGGGGGTTGGACATAGCGATGCCTTGCCTTTCTCAGCCGTTGTTGGCTTTTTGGATGCTCTTCTCTCCCTCGACATTTGTTGTCCCGAGTGTTGGCGACCGATTCCAGTAATGTGGTCTCAAAACGACTACCAGAAACAGCAGTCCGTGCATTGGGTTTGCTTCCTATGCATCAGATACATAAATATATATGTATGTGTGATAATATATATATATATACTCCTGTATCATACAAAAAGAAACAGCACACATGATCAATACTCACATGAAATATGTATACACGTACATATACATATATATATATTATATATATATATATGTTTGCACAGCTCTAGTGCCTCCATGAGACATCTGTCTCACGCGTCAGGTCCTGCTGGGCGCGGGCCTCAACGCGGTGCTGACGCCTCTGGCCGTGGCGGGGTGTCACCTGGGCGCCGCCGGGGCCGCCTGGGCCACCACGGCGGCGTGCTACGCCGCGGCGGCGGCGGCCTGGGTCACGGTGAAGCGGAGGAAGAGCGAGGGACGCTCGGCCGGAGCTACGTCTGGGGTTTGTCTCTGAGCTAAACCAGTGGTTTGTTTCTTGCCCGGATAGCTGAAAGCTGTTGGATTCCAACTTCTGAGAAAGAAGGGGAAGTGATTCACGAGATTGACGCCTGGGTGCTAGGGGCATGGAGTTTGCTTTTTCGGGGTCCTCTTTGGGGCGCTGCTTGAGGTGCTGGGGACGGCGCGGGCGCATTTTTTGCAAGATTGACGGTGGGGTGCTAGAAGGCATGCAGGTGACAACGCGGGTGCTCTGGGAATGCTGTTTGGGGGTGCTGTTCGGGGTGGTGCTGGTGCGGGCGCACTTTTGAGGATTTGCGATTGATGGCAGGGTGCTAGGGGCGTGCAGTTTGGGGTGCTGGTGCGGGTTGTTTGGGCGGGGGGTGGGCGGGGGGCAGGCGACGGCGCGTTTTTTGCGAGATTGACGGCGGGTTGCAAGGGGGCATGCGATTCGTGGTGCTGTTTTGGGGGTCCTGGTGACGGCCAGGTGTGTTTTTGCAAGATTGGCGGCAGGGCGCTAAGGAGGCATGCAATTGGGGAATTCTTGGCAGGTGCTGTTTTGGGATGCTGTTTGGGGTGTTGGTCGGGCAGTGCTGTTAGAGGTGCTGGCGTGCAATCGTTGGCACGTGTTTCGCTATTTGGGGACTATGCGGTGTAATTAGTATAATTGTTTTGGTTTCCAAAGAAGATCACCCCAAAAAGTCACATGGCCAGTGGGAGAACCCGAAGAGCGCGGAAAGAGAGAAGGGGAAAGGAAGAAGAAGACTTGAAAGGAGAGGACCTGAGACACACGGAAAGAGGACCGTGCCGAGCATGATCTTCGACCAGACGTAATTTATGTTTGTTCCAAAGTGGTTCCTTTGGCGCGCGGTTGTGTCTTTTTGTTGCACTCAAAATGCGGTTCGTCCGAACCCTCAAGACTCACCCATTTGGCATATGGGGACTTTCCCAAAGCAGTGGGTTTCTCCCCTTTTTTTGGGAGCGGGGTTGTTTGGAGAGTAGCAGTATCATATCATGGGTTGGTTTTCAAGGATGCTAAACCGGAGAACGCCAATATTGCGTCGAAACCTATTGGCATATGTTGTGCCGACTCCGGCAAAAAGTCCAAAAGGGGAACCATACTTTGGACCGGGAGGTGAGTGAAGCGAAATGGCAATCGCCAGAAGGGACCCTTTGTCCTTGGGGTGGTAAGGTTGACAAGAATTCAGATATGACCACGGAATCTGGTTTGGAGGGCCACACGAAGACAGCTGTGACTGGCAGCAGTGTTTCAGGATGGTTTCAAGGCAATTCTATTCTTGTGTGATACAGTGCAGCTGTGCCCAGAGGGGCTGATCCTGTTGGCATGCTGATTCATGAGCGCATTAATCTTTCAGTACATGCCCAGCCCATGTGGACATCGAGACACGACGTGAGGCAGCGCGTGGCTGCCCCCATTGCGGCAGCTCTTGGGCGAAGCCTTCCTGGGCCGCCCGGCCGGCAACGCGGGCGTCAGCTGGCTGCCGCTGCTGAAGGCCAACGCCGCGATGTCGCTGAGGACCTTCAGCTCGCTGAGCACCTGGCTGGTGGCCTGCGCCCTCATCACCAAGATCGGCCTGGCGCCCCTGGCGGCCCATACGTGCATGACCAAGACCTTCTTGGCCTTCCTCTACCTGCTCTATGGGTTTCAGTTAGCTGCTCAGGTGCTGGTGAGCGCCGATGTGGTGCAAAACCGCCAGGCGCGCGCACGCTGGACCGCGCTCAGGGTCATGCGCTTGGGCATGGCGGCGGCGTGCCTGACGTCTCTGGGCCTTTGGCTTGGACGAACAGGCATCGCGGACGCACTGGTTTCGGATCCAACGGTGACCGCGGCGTTTGTATCGCTGGTTCCGCCTGCCATCGCAATGCTGCTGATCTATGGTGTGATGTGGGTTACAGATGGAGTGCTGTATGGTCTTGGAGATTACCTGTGGACCGCAAAATGCACAACGTTTGCCGCCTTGTCAGCTGTGGCAGCCATGCTGCTGGTTTCTAGAGCTCAAGCGACTGCTCCTCATATTTGGTGGAGCTTGAATGTGATGATGGCCATCCGAGCCGTGCTCGGCGTCCATCGTGTCTTCTTCAGCAGGAAGTCGCAACTGTCCAATTTTTCCCTGCAGCTTTCGAAGAAGAAAGCTGCGGCAATGTCCGTGCAAGGTGACGGGCCCCCACAGTAGCCCTCCGCCAAGTGGAGGCGTCGCGAACCTTCCGCTCTTAGACTGGGCGTCAAGTGGCCACTTGGCCAGGATCTCAGCAATGGAAGAAAGACTCGCACGTACACGCCAGGTCACCCAGGCCCAAGCCAGGTGCTTCCGGATTCGAAGTGCGCAAGTCGATGGGCTCCATCTGTCGATCGGGCGATTGCGGACAGAACCGTGTTCCACGTTGAATTGGTTTGGGTTTTGACCTCCCGCTTCTTGGTAAATGGGACACCACCCCCCCTTAAACTGCAAGCCACCAATCCAGATCAACAAACAAGTGGAGGCATGTGGAATGTGTCCAACCGTTGGGGCTCCTTGCTAAGGAACCCAAAGGAAACCAATCCTCTTGTTGCATTTTCTTATTGTAGGACACACCCCTTGGCCTCTGGCTTGCCCATCTGAGGTAAGGCAAGCAGTTTTCCTTTCAGAAGAGGACATGGACCAATTGCACGTTCCATGGCCATCTCCGCCCCCTCTCCCTGTTAGCACCCTTGCCAGGGGCAGACAGTGGACCATTTGTTCGATGCTTTGGTCTTGGCCTCATAGACTCACTGCCTCGCTCTTGCGCGGTTGCACCTCCAGGTGCGAGATGTAGTTCTTGGCCAGTGATTTGTAAGCCACCTGGTTGGTTGTTGATTTTCTTTCACGGTTAAGAGTGGCGATCATCTTTGGCATATCTGATGATAGAGACACTCACCAAATTGATGGCGTATGCTTGCTTTGAAGCACTCAGCCCAGCATTGCAGAGGCCAGTCCGGCATCACATCTAAGGCGGGCGGCAAGCTAGAGGTTCGATGGCCTGACTTCAAATCCTTCTTTGCTCAGCTGGAGTCGCGTGCTTAGTGCTCTATGGTTCTTCTCGATCATATTGAGAGAAACATTCTGGAATGAAGCAAATTCACCCCAAATGAGCTGCTTCAAATGCTCAATTCAGCTGTGAGAAAAAATGTCCTCCTGGAGGGTGCAGTGTACAGCAAGTCACGAGGGTTCGCGGAAGCACCACCAAGGCCCTCGCTGCAGGAGGCGCAACTGCTGCAGCCCAGAGCTCAAGGCTGTTGCTTCGGACCCCTTCGGATGGGTGCCCAAACTCAGGAGAAGCTCTGAGAGACTGACGATCTAGTTGGTCCAATATCGGCAAAACCCGCCGTTCCCGGCCTCGGGCGATGTTGGGTTGTATCTTAGGAGCCCTTTGGCTGTCGATGGAGTAAGGTAGGATTGGCTTCCTCTGAAACCCGGCAAGAGGTCCCTGCATTTGGCATATCTCCACATGTCCCGTGTCGAATCGCCTGGTTGCTGGAGTGATAGTCACCCCGTTGCATTTAGACAGGCACAAGGGTCCTGCATGGCACATCGTGGCCTGGAAATGGAAGTGGAAATGGAAGGAAGCCCAGACGGAGAGATGAGGTGTGGGGTCCATGTCCTTCACTCACCGGGTCTCCAGTTTCTGAGCCACTGCAATTCACCTGGGCAAAGTGGTTAATTCCCCAAAACTGGGTAGCCCCAAAAGATCTCGAAATGGCCAAGTGGAGTTAATAGTGTTTCAACATTTGGGGCGAACTCAATTCGCAAATCACAGCCACCGAAGCAGAGCATTCTGTTTACGCGCATGGCAGGCATACACGCCCTCATGCACGCATAAGGAAACCAAGGTGCATAATATACAGCTTGCCAGTTGTGGGGAAGCCTCATTTTGGACTGGAGCCCGGAACAAGTTCTGAAAAGGCTTCCAACCCTCAGGGTTGCCTGCATCCTCCACGTTCCTCCACATTCGGGCCGGAGGCTGCCAAAGTGTATCGCATACACTTGTCGATTTCAATCAGTACACACCTATGCAGTACAAACAAGACACTGAAAAAACGATAGGGGACTCTGCAAATTGGAGCGAATTGACCGTGAGTAGCAAATGTCGACGGAGCTTCACCTGAACGGTTTCGGAAGCTAGCAAGCACTTTGTGATGTTTCAGAGATCGACTGTGCTGTGCAAACGAGTGTTACTACTTTGAACCGTGTGAGCTTTTTGTGGATGGCAGCCCAGGAAGAGGTTGAGTCTTATTTGCCACATGGATGTGCCTTTTTCAGGGGACCCCCCAAATGGTGGTTTTCCTTTTGGCTTCCCTTGACCAAAACAAGGATACCAACTCCACAAAAACGACCCCATAGTTGAGGTTGTGGGAAACCTTTGATGCCAATGCCGACGGTGGCGTGTCGCGAGAGGACTGATGCCGAATGTCAATCCACCAATCCGCTGATGCGGGATATGCACAAAGGGACAGACAGCACGAGTTTAACGATTCGTGCAAACACGAGATGTGTGCGTGTGTGCGCGCACCGCTGGAACCCACTGGGATGCCTACAGCTTTGAAACAAAGGTTCCCGTTGGGGGCCATGGCCAAAAATGGGCCAACATGGGGAAATCCCAAAGGTCAAAAGGGCGATTCACTTTGGGCAAGTGGGTAAAAGGAATGCTTGCGTGGAAAGTCAGAGGCTGTGCCGTCGAAAAAGCGAGCGGCTGCTTCCTTGTGGTCTCGCGACGCGAAGAGGAGTTCCGGAAGCAGCTTGCGAAGGTTCAGGCTCGGTCCTTGGCTATCGGATCTGCAGGCTAACATGGAACCCCAAAAAGGGATTGCCCAAAGGGTCCTCTAAAACTGATGGTTTTGGGGTTCCACGTTAACTTGCAGGAGTGTGGCTTATTCCTACAATTCTGCTTGCCAGCATCATAGATGGTGTATACGACTGATCGAGGGCAAGCAGGGCGGCTCAGATGTGAACCGATTTCTTGCAAGCGAGAACTGGGATGTTGTTCACATTGATCCAAGTCAGGTTTTGGCTTGAATGTGTTTCGGATTCATCCTGACGTGGCAGCCAAAACTGGCACCATGGGGAAGCCCTCGCTTTTCCACAATCTATATGCATTATGAATGGGACACAAGCACCATGTTTTAAGGAAGGGTCAGGCCGGTGTTGGGAAAGGGGTCGGGAGACTTAGGATCTTGGTTTTTCAATGCTTCATAAGTGGCTAGCAGCACCAACGGCTTCTGGTTGAAGGCGTAAAAGCCTTGCCGCGAGGCACCTGCACCGCCAAAGACGGAGCCATCGAAGGTGGACGTGTCTCAAGTCCCGACCTCGGGCGACTGGATATGGTTGCCATACGGTTTGTGGTCGGCTGGCTTGCAGTGAAACCAGGGAGGCCGCCAGGTTGCGAACCTCGCGTCAACTGACCAGGGGTAGCCCTGCTCCAAAGTGACACCAGGGAAGGTACCTGAATTCTAGCTCTATCGGTCGGATCGCCGATTTTCCAGCGGAGGAAGTGTGCTCCATGGTGGCTGCAATGCTCCGCCGGGAGGGCAAGACGCAGGAGACCCGAGGGCGGAGTCCAAACATGGGAGGGTCCCCGCTCTGGACGCAGACGCGGGTTCCCACCTCCTTGCCAGTAGGAATGACGGATGGGGGTGGATGCCGCCTGGGTGACCCAGTGGTTTCTATTTTCCCAAGATAGGATCAATGGGATCCTCCTGGTTGGTACCATCCCTGCACAGTCCAAACGCGTGTGCAGGACCAGCTCTTTGATGCATTGGCGACGTGCTTAGAGCGTGATGGGCGCCGACGACACGACTGTTTCGTGCTTGACATCTTGGCACTCGCTAACTCATCAAAATGAACTTTTGCGAAGGCATGGCCATCAATCCACGAAACTGCCAGTAGAAGTCTTTGCCTCCGACGACCCAATTAGGTAATTCCATCACCAAGTAGTGAACTGGAGGAAATACTCCAACTGGAGGAATTACTCCAACTACCGAAATGGCCAAGGAAAACCTGAACTCCGTCCAACTTAGGTTTTTTCCTTCGGCCGAGGCTGCAGGGCGCCAGGACGTGGTGTGGCCAGATTTCCGCGAGCTCTTCCGCCAGCTCGCCAGCTTGACGGCCCCAGACTGAGACCGACCTGAGACTAGCGCCGGACGTGAGCGCAGAGTGGCGCGCCCCACGTGGCACTGGGATTCCCCACTCTTTGGGGTGGGGGAGCCTCCTCTAAAGTCAAGAAAAGTGAGGAAGAGGGTTTTGTTTGCAAATGGGCCGGGCAAGCGATTTGATTGGCAATGTGTTTTTTTTTTTGGAACTAGAACCGTATGGGTGTGTCTTTTTGTTTAGGGAACCCCTTTTCGGTTGGTTTTAGAGGGAAACAACCAGGACATCAGGGCAACCATTTTGGGGGGTCCCCTGAAAGACGTACACCCACATTGCCCAGGAGCAGCAACTGACAGAGCTCTGGCAGCATTTCGACAAGAACGGGGTGGCTGCGCCCGGTTTGATGGGAGGGCAGGTTGAGACGTTTTGGCAGTAGCACAAAGAATCACACTGACAAGGGGAAGTTTGCTTGATTGGTTTTGTAATTACCCTTGGGAGGAAACCCAACTTGCCTTCCTTTCAATGCCTTTTGGCAGCGTATTAAGGGGAGAAAGGGGAGCACACAAGTCCCGAAAGGACTGGAGTGGATGGCATGGTCCTGTTGGCAGTCCGGGCTGAGACACCAGCAGTGCATAGCTCAATAAAGGGAGCGTTTCTCGAAGTTGGGGACCCCTCCATATATTAATATGTAGGTGGTGTCCTTTTAATTTCCTTTTTAAACCCATCCAAAAGAGGCCCCCTAGTTTGAGACACACCTCTAAGTGAAACATCCGTTGCAAACCGCGGAGAGCAGGTCAGCTCTTGCCTTTGGCAAGGGATTCACTTGAGCCTGGGCAGTTCGAAGGTGAGTTGAGAACATGTTCACTGGATTGCCCCCTGTTGGCGCGGGATTGCCGTGCTCAGATGTGCGCTCGCGTAAAAGGTGAGGAGACGCGTCTGGAAGGTGACACGATGTGCGAGCGTTGCCTTGCCAGGATGGCAGCGTTTCGCGGGAGGAGTTCAAGCGTGCGCTAAGCGCCGTGAGTACAGCTGCGGAGGATGTGGCACAGGATGGGGTTTGCCAGTTGCAGTTGGTTTGTGGGTTTCAACATCGCACCGGACCAATACGATGTGTATTGCCCGCAGGGAAGGGTGTTTTTATTTTATGTCTCAGGGGATTGATGTCGATACCCTCCTGTTCAGTAACATGGAACCTCACAGGGGTTCTGGAAGAAGGGTCTACATATAGATATATATATATATATATACATTAATAAATACATGTGTATATCCTTTTTGCTCTTGATATTTACACATGTTTCTTGGCCAGGACGTGTGCTCGCGGGTCATGAGCGCTCTGGCTCGCGAGGGCAAGCGCCCTGCGACACGATTGGCCGGCCGAGGAACATGGGGTCGTGTGGGAATTCCAGCGTTGTTTGAGGGTACCCATTTTTCAGCTTGGCCTCAAGGGAAATCAATTGGAAAGCCGAAGCCGCGAAGCCATTTTGGGGAGCCCCCTATTTTGGCACATACCCATGTATTTGACGTTATCTTGGAGGTGTGTAGTGCCAAAGACGTTCGATATCGTCTGAAACCGCTCCGAAACTTGGCTCCTTTACTTTGTCCAAAGCCGACCTTAGCCAACCCAAAAGCGTGTCCTGCAAAAGAAATCGGTCCTTCCGGCAGGTGAGCCGCCTTGCCTATGTTTCTAGGGGCAACGTCCCCATTCTTTCAAGGGATCCTTCTTTCTAGAAACCACCAACAACCCTGGAGAAATGACTGGTTTTTGAAAACAACGATGGCCGAAAAGAACGGAGAATCAACGTCTATAATGTTGCCACCAAGCGAAGCTCCCAGGGAGCGCCGTTCCTCCCTCGGCACGCCTTAGCGCCAGGTCGGTGGCACAGCTCTTCGCCGCCTTGGCCTCTGGCAGGCGGGTTTCGGGGGTTTTCAGGGGGTTGACCTTTTGTTTTCGTTTCAAGTTGCCCCAAAAAACATGTTTTGCAGACTCAAGTCAAGAAGAATGAGAAGAGGGGCACCGCAGTGCCACTGCACTAGCGAGGGGTTTGCGGAAGTTGTTTCTTCCGCGTGTTCTGGCCCATTTTGAACCGACTAGAATGCCAGGGAGACCATGGTGTGTATTCCCTCAAATTTGAATGAATTCTACAAAGCTTTCCGCCAAGCTTCCGCTGTGTGAGGGGACCTTCAACGAGGCCCTTTGCTAGATTGGGGAACGGTTACCGCTTCCAATTGGATTTTCGGTTGTGGTGAATCGGGGGACAAGCTGTTTAGGCAATTGGGGGACAAGAAAGGCTCATGTTCTGGAGTTAGGGGGCCCATTCAACGTGCCTACAAAGCTCCAGCACATTTGTTGCTGTTTCCTAGACTTGGGACCACCTTTTGTGGCTGGTTTTGCAACAACCAGCAAGGAGCCACTCATGTCCTGGTCACCCCTATTGTGAGTACCCGTTGACGCAAACCTTTCGGAGCCTTGCGACAAGCCGTGTTGTCCGAGCACCTCGCACGGCGACAGGAGCACGGTCCAGTGGAAGGATTTCGGGGATTTCTTCCAGGCGCTGGAGTTGGCACCCCAGAGGTTCTTCTCGCGGTGATGACCCGAATCTCAAGTAGGCGGTTGGTGGACATGAAGAACCGAGTTCTGACGTCCACCCAAAGGGTCATCATGCCATGAACAACATGGACTCCAACAAAGCAGATTCTGAAGGGACATTTGCGGGCTTTGGGTCTGAAGGGGAGTGGAATCCATGTGTCCATCCCCAATTCATGCCCATGTGCAGGCGTGTCCTTGCCCAGACTTTTGGGACCCAATGTTTGGTTTTGTGAGTGGCAAGATAAAAGGAAACCGGCCTGTTTTGAGGGGTCCCAGATTGGGCAGCACGATGTGACATACACTTCCCTGAGGCTCCTTGGAATGTGCACCTTCAAGCGGCTTCACCTGGATCACTTCGACAGTGTTGAGGTTGGTGAACTGGACACAAAAAGAGCCCAACAAGACTTCGAGGCTTGCAGATGTTCCATCAGGCTGTTGGTTTGCATCAAGGCCCGGCCTCACACGGCAGCAGTTGGAGCTCCTGTGGCGAACCTTCGACAAGGAGCGGACCTAGGGTTGGGGCTGACAATGAGCAGCAACACCTCCCCACTTGCAAAGCCTTGAATGGAGCCCCTTGGTGTTCTCCTGAACCAAAAGGGGAAGATGCCTACCTCCACTCTGTATATAGACAAGAGTTGACGAGAGTGACCTCATCCGAATGAGTCAGCAACGCCCACCTTTTGCCTTCTCTGCCTTCGCCTGAGCGGGGTCCTCACAGCACCGGTGTTGACCTGCGAGTCACAATCGATTTCAGCAAGACTTACCTTAGAGCGCCTGTTTCGCTGATTAAGCGTACGAGCCATGATGCACCGACATGAAGCGTTTGCGACACGCTGCAGCTTATCCGATCCGCGGAAAGTCTCGTAGCTGTGAGTTGGAGTGCCCATGGCACACCTCTTCGCCGGCAAACGGGTCACCAGGGGCTCGAGTTCAACTGAGATGTTTGCATCCGCCATCCAGCGTGCCCACCCCTTGCAGGGAGATCGTTCTGCATCTTGTGACACGGAGCTAAGTGTTAGCGTTTGGAGCGTGCAAACTCAAATGCGTATGCCTGTTGTTTGCCAGCGTGCAAATGGTGTCATGCTAAGGATATTGTTGCTATGTAGAACAAGATGCGTTCTTGACATGTACTTTGTTAACTGTCAGGCGACGAAATCTTGGGTTCCTCCGGGTGCTAGGATGGAGACGGCAGCGTCTCGCAAGAAGAGTTCGAAAGGGCGTTGCAGCCCGGGCAGGGATCCAAGCATATGGCCATGAACTTAAATAGGGAATCACCTCGCCAGTAGTTGACAAATCCCCACCGAATTCTGAGGTCCCGAATTGAAATTCATATTGGTGCTCTTCTGCATGTCCCAGAAAAACATGAAGCGGGAATGAGCCATTCGGGAGGACCGGGTCGTCCAGGTTGCCACATGTTACGTTCGTTTGCAGAGACGCCAAAGCTAAGATCTTTAGTTTCAGGACTGCCTCAGAAGTCGAGTCGGCCGTTCCAAAGAATTGATGCTAAGGACGGTGAAAACGGAGGAGAGAAAGGCCGTGCTGGGTTGTTGTAATTTTGCTTTGGTGTGGGTGAATTCTCAACAGAAAATATTATAAAAATGAGTCCCCCGATCTAGACCCTGGTTTGCCTGAGCGTCCAAAGTTCACGGAGAATGCCATCACATCTTTGCTGGAACCGCTAACCAACTTTTTGTTTGCAAGCCTCCGTGCTTTTGGAGGCTTCAAGGGGAGGACTAAAAGGACACCAACCTTTTTTGGGTTCGCAACATGTATGAGCAATCAATGGCTTTGAAGCCATTGGGCCGACCTTGCCATTTGTCCGAGGACTGGCTGCAGTCTGATCCACCTTGGGTCATGGTCATAGTTCCAACCACATCATCACGCCTGAGACCATTCAAAACCACCGAAAGCCAAGCCAGATACCCAAAGAAAAACAGGTTGGCTCATCCCCCCCCCTTGTGGGACCCCCTGAGGGGAGGGGTGGTTATTGGACTAATTTGTGGAGGGGGGTCTACTTGCGGTTGTACTTGGAGATTACGTGGCGCAATTGAAATGAGTTTGGCCTGGAAAGGGTGAGATTGCTGACGCTTGAATCCTAAGATTAAGCATCTCACCAAAGTACAAAACCCGCGCAGAGACTGGCGATTGGCTTGGGGATGACCTGCAACTGACTTTGAGTCGTCACCAGCATTGTCCCCCCTGAGTTTCAAAAGGGTCGTCTCCGTTTCAGAGGTCAAATTCATGCACACCCTTTTTCAGGCTGTCATGAATCCAACACAAGTCCACTCTGGGGATGACAGTTTTGGTCTCTTTGTGACCAGCTCGCCAGGCCCCTGAAATCTGTGTGCGCATTGCGCCGGGCCCTGAGTCAGTGTTGCGGGCCGGGTCGGTCAGCGGGTTGGGGTGCCATTGATCACCCAAAACCTGTCTCGGATGTCTTGGACAATGATCACTTAGGGATGTTTTTGTTCAGGTTGACCCCCAAATGGATTTCGGTTGTTTTCCCTTTCAAAGCCACAAAAACAGGGTACCCTTAGAAAAAGGCAGACACAGCAGCCTTGATTTGGAGCACACCAGCGACTTTGGATTGGCAACTTGGGACTGGTGGCAACTTGTCTTCTTTGGCTGCTTGTCAACCCCCTTGTTGCTGCGTTGTCGATTAAGAGACATATGACATGAACTTCTTGAGGCCCGCGACCCCTCCGAGTGCTGGAAGCCACGGTGCTGTTTGACATGACGCACCAATGGGTCCCCAAACAAATCCCAGATTGTCAAACCATTTGCCGGATCATTGTCAATCGGAAGCCAGGGTGCACGCGTTGAATACGACTCGCGCCAGAGCTTGATTCTTGTTTATCAACTTGTTGGGCTTGTCTGCTGGAAGAAGACCCAGAAAATGAATGCCTGCAACTTCCAAAGCTCATGATGGATGGCACAAGGACACTTGAACCGACAAAGCACCACACCCTCCACAGGCCAAATGGCAATGTGCTGATATCTGGAGAAAAGGCAACATGCCTAAGCTTCGGACACATACGTGGAGTTTGATCGGTTCTCAGCTAGGAGGGAATTTGACACATTCGGCTGATTTCACTTAGGTCAGTGCTCTTCCGGCAGGGCAAGACTGTGCGAGAGCTCTTCGACGCCTTGGCCGGTTCCAAGGCCCGACGGGCATGGTGTGTGACATTTGGCTATGTGGTGTTTGCCTTGCTAATGACCTGATGGCTAGGGGATGGATATCAGCAGATGCCCGACATGTGTAAGTGAAGCAGAAATAGGTCGGTTGTCATGTTTCATGGGCCAACTTGGAAGTCTCATGGCACAAAGAATCGCCGGTTATCGCAGTGTTTTGGCCTGACTGCATGTCGGTGTGCCTGTTGCTTTCTTTCTTTCTTTCTTTCGGGGGGGGGGGACTTGTTTGGGTTGGTTTGAGAGGCACATCAAGCCACGTAACCCAGGTCTCTGGAGCCAAAGCCGCCACGTAACCCAGGGCTCCGTGCTGTGGAGCGACTTCCACTCCATGTTTCACCAGCTGGAGCCGTGCCCCAAGGGGCCGTTTTCGGGCACCAGGGTGCTTGACTGCTTGACTCTACTGGACGGCAACCCAAGAAACTTGTTCTCATCAGAACGTTTGGGGGTCCCTGTTCCAGTGTTGGAGTTTGATATCGACTGTTCAAGCTTGCTCGGCGGTGGGTCAAAGTCCAGTGAATCTTGAAAGGTGAGTTTGAGAATTGGCCTTTTGTTGGGGCAGTGAAAAGGTTCCTGTTGCCAATTTGCACAAACAAGTCTGACACGTACTCCCTTGAACGCTTTTGGATGCTTGGCATTGGGTGTCCTGGAGGCCGTCCTTGGCTGAGACAGAGCTGCAGACCCTGTGGAAGGAGTTCGACAAGGACCCTCCCAAAGCTGGATGGTTCCTATGCTTGGTGTCCTGTAACACCACCCCCAACAAGGCTACCCTCAAAAGAGGGATCCGATATTCTATCGCATGTTCAAGCAAGGCCGAGGGGAAGCATAAGGTAGTAGCGAATTGGGGAAGGGGAGAGTAGTTGATTCGCTACTGCCGTGACGCACAAGGACGGTGATGGCAGCATTACTCGGCCTGAGTGCCGTGCTGAGTGCATGTGGGCGCGGAAAATGTTGAAAAGCTGATTCACCGCGCATTGATTTTCAGTGGAGTCCCAGGTGAGCCAAAACTCATGTGATTTTTTCCTGCAAGGGTTTTGAGTATGTTCCTTTGGTGCCAGATTGGTAAAGACTCACGTGTGTGTGTGTGTGTGTGTGCGCGCGTGTGTCTGTGATGGTGTGTCTCAAAATCGGGGAACCCCCAAGCCGGAAGTATCGGTTTCCTTTCGGTTTCCCTTTACGGCCATCCAACAAAAAACGGGTTCCACCTCTTAACGCGCCACAGGCCGCCACACCCATGAGGCCAAAGCCGGTGTCAGCTGCCCTCGCTCCGATCGCGAGGTTCTTCCAGGCCATGGAACCCGCCGCCCGCCTGGTGGTGGCGAAGATGTCTGAGGTGATCTCACGGCTGGCGCGGACGCCTCAGGCCCCTGAAGTGAAAAGCAAAGTGGGGGTGTCGTTTTTAAGGTCGAGCGCCCCCAAACGGATTTCGGTGTTCTTTTTTGTTTCCCCTTTAAAAAAGATGAAAAGGGAATAGATGGACGGAGTGGATGTTTCGAGTTTGCTCGGGATCCTTTGGGAACCCAAAGTTCCACCGGGGCTTTGGGGCGCACAGCGGACGTGCTCCCTGGCCGTTGAAAGGTTGCCGAATCGTTGCTTCTTCTGAAGCGGTCGTTAAGGCATAGTTTGCAGGATTTGCCTTTGAATAGAGACCCCCTAAGAATGGTGCTTCCCAAAAGGGTACACTGAAAACAGACGAGCCACCCATTTTCGACAAAAGAAAACATGGCGAAACCTCTGAGGCTTGCCCTCCAGCGAGAGGGTCAGACGGTGGATCGACTTTTCGAAGCCCTAGCGGGTGGCAAGGCCAGGCCCGGGGTGGGCTTTGGTGAAAAGTGGGCAAGCTGCTTGCATTTTTTGTTGTTGAACAAGTTGTATAGCCAAACTGGACATAGATGCTGATTGTTTCGGCCAGGCGGATCTGCCATGCTCCCCCAAGAAGCAAAAGAATTGAGAGGGGAGATTGACGGATTTTCTTGGCAGGTCGGGAGTTTTGACCCCCTCGGAAAGGGGTGTTGACTTCAGACTGTTACCTCCCCCTGGGAAGCCTACCATGCATAACTACCTCAACAAAAGGGGTCCCTTTCTCTAGCAGGGTCACTGGGCAACTAGCTTACTGAATCCCAACCACAGGGTAAATATGGCAATAGGTGGGGTGTTCCGCCTTTGTACGCAGAAGAATTTGCGTAGACTCCTCGGGCTTTCGTTCAGCGGCCCATGCCCAGGAAGTTGTGGCCTGGACTGATTTCCGGTCCCTATTCCAGCAGTGGGAGTGCCCTGCTCAGAGGGATCGTCGAACTTGTGATGCGCAGACTTCTGGTCATGTCCGCGCTCTCTCTAGAGTTTCAGTTCATTCGTGCCAGATCTTTCGTGTCATTCGTGAGATCCTTGCTGTGGCAAAGAAAGCCAAACAGTATCGTGCACGCTCTGCAGGCGAGGGCCGTGCAACTGTACACAGTAGTCAAGGAATTCCGGTACAAAAGCCTAGGATATCTGACGAACATAGCTATGATGCAGCTCATCCAAATCAACGTCTGCATGGTGAGACGGCGGATAGGACACATCCGGATACTCGATACCTGCCAGACCGACGCGGGTCACTTCCTGACCTCGCAACTGGATGGAGGATACACGCTCCACCTCAAACAAGGCGCATGCCATCGGCCGTCAAGCCGGCAAGCAGGAAAGGCCCACACGTCCAGAAACCGGCGCAGCGGTGGAGCCGAAGGCAGCGGATCCTTGTCCTCAGTTTGCCACACGTCGTCCCACTCAAACCGCAGCCTTGCCTGCCCAACCACGCTTGTCACAAACAGCTGATCGATGTCCCTCAGAGACAAATCTTCTGAGACTCAGCCTTAGCATTACCAGACGCGCAGACAGGTCGCTTGCCAGCTTGCAGTGGCGCCACATTGGGTTGGTTGCTGGTGAGAAGCTTTCACAGCACCGACCAGACGTGCAGAATACAATGAAAGCGATTTGGCCTTCATGTTGTTCTCTCATCGCATCATCATGCTTTGTGATTTCTTTCCTGCAGCTTCCACCGCCGATCTCATCACGTGCCCAAATTCTCATCCTGAAGCGTGCAGGCCTGTGCATGAGACACCAACTCCTGTTCACACGCCCTTTTGCACGCGCGATTACGCGCGCGAGCATCTTGGGTTTCTTCATGCCGCGAAGGGTTGGCCAGGGCTCTCGTTTTCTTCGAATCCGGTGGGTCGGCGAAAGTCTCTTGAGGCCCTCCTTGAACGAGGAAGACCTCCAAGGCCTTTGGCGCAGCTTCGACAAGGCTCGCCCTTTGCATGCAACGTGTTTTCTCCTAATTTGAAGACGTGCGTGACATTCCGGAAATCATGGAACTATAGCCAATCAAATAGCTGAGCATCTCTGTCTCTGCGGCTTAGGTTGGCAACTGTTGAACTCCCGACATGTGCTTTTCTTGGAAGGTGTTTTTCGCAGCATAGTTAACTTTACCGGTCACCACCAGAACACAAAACGGATTGCTTGTGAGAGACTCGAAGAGCATCCAGGCAAGCCCAGACTACTTAGTGGATGTCTCATTTCGACCAGGTTTTCCAAATTGGACCGCTAGTCAGTTTCAAGCTTTATGCCCAGTACCCAGAACAAGAACATGATCATCAAAACCCAGAAAGGGTTTCCATGGGGATGAATTGCGTAGTTGGTTGATACCTTCCAGGATGGTGATGGGAGTGTGACGCGGGATGAGTCCAGAGCCTAGATATGGAGCAGACATTAGGCACGACCACACTTTCAGCTGAAATGAACCTGCCAAGGCTTTGATCAAATCATTTTTTGTCAGGCCGATAGATATTATGAGGATTTTGAGGAGTGCTGCACTCCAAACAAAGACTTTGTCAGAGATTGGTGATTTGAATAACTCACTCAAATTGTGGTCTTCGTGCTTGCCAGCACGATATGTTGCTTTAGATTCCCACGATTCACGGGGTCAGCCAGTGCGGGAACAGGGCCAACGTGTTCGTACCATCCCTACCCTGCACGAGGAAATGTTTTAGGCCCTCGGAGTTGTTGCTGGACGCTTGGGATCCTTTCCTTCCGATATCCCTTAATCGGTGGTCGGGAATTGAACCCCTGGTTCTTGTAGGTAAATGGGGCAATCCACACCACCCAAACCAGCTTTTTCCAATCCACGATCTGGAAGGAAGCTGATTCCGGGCCTCCGGGCTGAGGTTCCTCCAGGCCTTGGCAGCGCCCATGGAAGTTGCAGCGGCCCATACCCAGGAGGTGTGCAAGCGAGTGGCGCCTGCAGCCCAGCGCTGCGAGGCCCCATGAGTTGACCTGGTTTAGGTTGCAGCCAAAACCACGCCATGGTTGTTGTTGGGAAACATGTGTTTTACATGTTTGCTTATTGTGGTTTAGTGGTTGAAATGCAACCACTTAACTGCTAAAATTTGAATCTTTGCTCCCCTTCCAACGTCAACCAAGCCCCCCCTTGTGGTGGCTTCAAAACAAGGACCAAAAAGGGAACCAATGATTCGGAGCGGGGTGTGTGATTTCTCAGATATTGCCGAGATGACATAGATCTGAATCAAGTGATTGGTACAGTGGAAAAGTCGATCAATCTTGCATGTCTCCGCAGGTGTGCTCGTGTTGTCGCAAGGGGCTGTGATGCTTTTGACGCATGGCAATGTTTGGCTTACGGGATTTCGACTATGGAACGACCACCGTAATCAGCACTCCCCCGCGAAACAGAGCACATAGTGTGTATGTTCGCAGCAAGCGGCAGACATGTCCAATGAATCTGTAGGCGAAGAGTTGCGAAGCGCTGAATTGGTGCAGAAAGTTCACGTCAGTAGCAGTGCCCACTTTGGCACACGCCCTAGAAGTAGCAGTTGGTCAAGTGAAATGTTGCGGGAGTGCAGTAATCCAGAAGGTTGCTTTTCAGCGATGCAAAAAGCCATTGCTCGGTAGGGATGCATAAGCCAACACAGGGCCTCTCCAATACCGGGCAGCCCAGATGATGGAAGATTTGTCGCATTCAGTTTTTTTGCCAAGCGACCCCGAAGCATTCTCCCAAGGTCCATGCTCTTCCAACAAGGGAGGACGGTGAACCAGCTCTTTGATGCCCTCTCCGCGGGCAAGGCCAGGGACCGATGGGCGATCACTGCGGCCCTCCGGCGTTGGTGGCTGTTACTAGTTGAGCCCATGTTCCATAGGCGGAGGAGCAACATGATAGACGCCGTCCAAAGCCGACCTACATTCGGTCACGATGTCCCCGCTTTCCGGCGTGAGTGAAAGGATTATGCTCCAAGGATCATCCAGCAATCATGCAGGCTGACAGGAAGATGTATGTTTCTTTTGGAGAGCCTCCACGCCGACTTCCATGATTCAAGAGGTCCGGTCCAGTCATCTCACTTCGCATCAACCGAGCCCGGTTTCAGTGCTGTTCGGGCACATGATGCAGTCCAGGGACGCCAATGCGTAGGTACAAGAGCCGGCACTTCTTTATAAGCAGGGACAAACAATGTTCAGGCACCAATGTCCAATGCACTTGCCCCTCTGCTCGTGCCAGGGCATGGTGATCTTTGAGGATTTCAGGTCACTGTTCCAGCAGCTAGAGAGCATGCCTCAGAGATCTCGAGAGGGGTGGAGGCTTGTGCGGCGGGCATGTGCTCCTTTCCCCAAGCTTGCCGAGGCCATCGCTGACTTTGCCCGACCTACAGGCTTTGTGGCGGACCTTCGACAAGGACCAGATCTGACGCTTGCGATGCTTATGTCCTGAGAGTGGTGCCTGTAGCGACTGCATGTAAATGGGGTCATCCTGCAGTACACACCCCCATGCCGCCCAGTGCCAACGCGAGATGAGACTTTTGAGCTTGTTTTGGGCCTAAGCGAGGTGTGTCGGGCTTGGGCGAAAGGTCCAGAGGCACTGATTCTGCAGGACGGAGATGGCGGTGTGACTCGCCAGGAGCTGCTTGGAATGAACAAAGCATGGTTTCATATCCACTGAAGCTATGATGGCTGATTCTTTAGAGCAAGAAAGAAGAAGCTGTCAAACAAGCGACCAAGCGACCGTGCAAACACAGGGAGGCCAGCAAAACTGGCCAACGGCCAAGCAGCCAGGCAGGCCGGTCACGCAACTAAGTAAGTAAGCAAAGTAGGCAAGGGACCGAGCAACCGGGTGAAGGCCCCCTCACGCAGTCGGCCCCTCACACCAACCCTATCCCAACCCCAGGCCTTGTCCCCATCTTACTCCGACTCAATCCAGTGCATTTCAAGAACTTGTTGCCCGGCGGAAAGTTTGACCCTTCCAAGCCTACTGTCATGTTCATTTGCTCCGTTTCACTTCCATGAGCTCTAAAAAAAAGAAGCAGAGGGGGTTGACTGCGGCACGTGTCACAAATGTCAGGGTCACAAGGGCACCCTTCGACATGTAACCCTGGCTATGAAACAAGATGGGAGTGTTAGTTTCAGGGTAGCCGCTTGTTGTTGTTTCCAAACCCTTCTGCGTATGTTCAGGAGCAGGCCCTTCGACGTATGCGAGACGCCACACGCCGCGCCTCCGAGGTTCTTGAAAGCGATGGCGCCTTCTGCCAAGCTGGTCGTCCAGCGCGTCTCGGAGGTGTGTGCGCAGGTGACGCCGGCAGCTGAGCCAAAGACCTGAACAATGGACATGATGGACCACGTGGGTATCAGCGTCAAAGGAGTCCTTTCGTGCGGAAAACGGGCTGGTGGGTTGGGTCGGTATGTTGGAGAGATGTTGCTCGCAAGATGAGGAGCAGTTGTTTGCACTTGCGTTAGGGGATGTGGCCACAGGGAATAAAGGGAGTATTCAGAGCAAGGCATCCGTATTTGAGGCTTTGAAACAGTTGCTCGCAAAGCAGTCTCTCTGTCTCCCTCTCTCTCTTTCTGTCTGTCTTTCTTTCTCTTTTTAGGGACACTGACTTCCAGCACACCAATGTACCCGTTCTGACGATTTCAACTGAACTCGCCGGAAACTGGTGGCACCTGGCACGAGTCACCCGAGGCTCCAGCTGCAACAAGCAGGTCAAACAGTGCACCAGCTCTTTGACACGCTGGCGGTGGACCAGGCCAAGCAAGAAGGTAGGAGGTTGAAATGGGTCATCCCTTCTTCCTAACAGAATAACAAGCAATATTTGTTCCAGACCCCCCAAAAAGTCCGTGTCCGGGTATCCGAAATTTTGAATAGGCAAATTATGAACCAGTATTACACTAGTGACTTCCCCTCGTGACCCAATCGTACTTTGTCCTGCAATTCAAACTACTCCCTGCCGTGGAAGCAATCAGGGCCCCCCCAATAATAGCACATGTCTTGCGAGAAGCGAGTTTTTTTTGGGAGGCGGGTCCCGTTTGCCATTGCGGGAAGGGATTACTGCCCTGGATAACTCCTTTTGTTTTTGGTTTTGCTTTAAGCCAACCAAAGGGTACCCTCAAATCAGCACACAAATCCCACCGTCCTTTCATTGTTGTTGTGACGTGTTCCCCAAATGAGACAAAATCACCTTTTTGCCCCGTGGGGTTTCCCACTCGGAGATTTGGCAGGTTGTCAACATCATGAACACCTTCAAAAAGACCCCAAACAAAGAGCTGGCACTCATTTCCAGAAGTGCCAATATGTTTTCACACCCATGCACCCAAGCACCCCCCACCCCCCCACCCGCCCGCCCGCCCGCCCGCCCACCCACCCACCCACCCACCCACCGACCCACTTACCCAGCCACCCAGCCAGCCACCCAGCTACCCAGCCACCCAGCCAGCTACCAAAGCAACATGCCAAGAAGGCGACAAACTATTAATTTATTGCGACACTGGGTTTCTTGACCGGTTGCTCTTTGAAAAGTAACAAACAGCAATTCAATGCGGCCAGGTGGTGCGATGGGAAGCCTTCAGCTCTTTCTTCCAGACCTTGTCGCAGGAAACTTAGCCGTTGGCAACCTTGCCGCGTCCAAGCTGCAACACCACCTGGTGGTTCAGACATATACATATATATATATACACATAATTGAAATACACTATATATTCACGCTTTCGCAAGCTGCGCAATCACCAAGGTCATCCCTTTCAGAGCAGGATCTGCATGGCTTGTGGCACAGCTTCGACAAGGCTCGCGCAAAACGAGGCGAAACGAGTCTTTTCCCATCAACCTGCCTCCTGTTTTGCCATTGAGCGGTCGGAGTTTCGTGAAGTTTATTTCGTGTGCCAAGAGCAGCGCTTGTACCGACGGCCGGCAACCTCTTTTTGGGGGGAGCGGTTGCTCACTGTACAGTCCAACCTGGGAAGACTCACGCCGGAGTTCGCCTTAGGACGGCGACGGCACCGTGACCCGTGCAGAGTCGGGGGCCCGATGCTTCAAACAACAGTGGCACGGACACCTCGCCTGTTCCTCCACCAGCCTGGAAAAACCTGTCACATGTGCAGCGTTTTTTGTCCAAAGATCCGCACCTCAGAGAGTAAACACCTCAGTTTAGCGTTGGGCACTTCAAAAGCCGGCCGGCTTTCGTCAGCCTTAGGTTTGTGCTGGCCTTGGGGCCCTTGCCTTCTGCAGGGATCTCAGAGGCCATAGGTGGTTCGTGGTTCTACTGCTTGTTTAATAGGGATTATAGTAAGGCCAACCACCCAGCGAGCCATGTTGGTAGAACCAAGACTCAAGGGGAGAAATGGGCGCTGCCCATTTGGAGCAGACGCAACCCTCAGGTCTCCCCTTGTGTTTCACAAAATGACAACAATTCGGACCTTGTTTTGTCCATTTATCAAATATGAATGTCTGATGTGCAAGGTGGCGCGAGTTCCGCATCCGAAGCAGTTCTCCCAAGGAAAGTGAAGAATTGTCAGTAATTGGGGACAGCTCCGTGTCAATCAGCGAGTTGATCAATTTGGTTTCGATTCGAGATTGCTCCAAATGCAAGGTTCCCCTTGCAAACTTTCCCCAAGAGACATTCTGTGTGTTTTTTGGAATGGCAGTTCATCACATGGGTATGGGTCAAAATTAAACCATCAGGGGACCGCATGACCGCAGGTGTTGGTGGTCCATGTTTCCATTTACCAGGGTTCCCTTCTGGGTACCTATTTTTGACCCACACCTACATCAACTTCAATAGGGGATGCACTACTCACGACACAAGGATCCGTCTCAAGGCTTCTCAGAGAGAAAACGTAGTATTGATGCGGGTATACGATTATCATTCCAAAAGTTACTACCCCCAGAAAGGAAAACGGGTTTTTCAGTAGAGAGTAGTTTGTTCGGGTGTGAACAACTAAGAAAGTCCCATACCAAACCATCTCTAACTAGGGCCAATAGTCAATCCCCTGCAAATGACCCCTTGGCCCGTCAGGTTTGGCACCCAATTTGTTTCGTAGTGATTCCCCATTCGGGGGCCCGCTACGCGGTTGCCCGCATCAGACACTATGTCCGTGTAGAAGAAGGAGGCTTAAGACTTCCCACAACATCCCGAGGTTTGGTCGCTACACATCCAGGGCACATCGGGACTCACCAGTCCAACAGAATCCAGGAGATCCGATTTTCGCCAATCCACCATGGCCCAGGCCCCGCCGACGGCGCCCGAGAGCGCCGGCGGACTGTCAGACGCGCTTTGGGTCGCCATTGCAGAGGCCCGGGGAGGGCCGGGGGAGAGTTGGTGCCAGGTCGTAAGGGCTGTTAAACTCTGTGGAAGAAATCGGCATGCAGAAGTCAGCGTGCATACATGCAAACGTCATATATATATATATATATACATATGTACACACATGACATACTGACATACCGACATGCAGATATCAAGACATGCAGCATACAGAAATACGGGCGTGGAGACATACAGGCATACCGACGCGCACTCTTACAGGCATATCAACATGCAGACATGCTTGCCTACCTACATAGATGCTTTGTCGTGCAATGTATGTTGTATATAGTATGTTGCACACCTTCTGCTATGTATTGTTTGCTGTATGTAGCAAGTCGTCAATCCGGGGAAGTGGCAGCGGGTTTGCGCTTGCAACTTGACCTGTTGAACCAGGGTGATGTGCCTTGGACATGTTGTGACGTAGCCTGTGGAACAATGCCAAAGCCCAGACTTGGCAGCGTCCCTCGCTTTTTCTGCTTTTTCTGCTGTTCCCTCGCCGACATTTGTGACGCCATTCCAACATTGCACCTCATAAATCCAAGAAGCTGGCCCACATGTCCAGCCGACAAGTTGCAAAGTGAGCATGATGCATATATATATATATATATGTTCTGGCCAGAAACAAGTACTAGTACGTCACATCAATATGATTGTATATCCCATCTTGCAAATTGTTCATCAATCCAGGTTCATTCAGAGTTTGGCAGTCTGCTGGGCGCAACGGACCATGCATGACCAGATTTATTGAATACCTTTTGGCATCAGCATCCAAGTCGTATCAGCATAAGCATTGCGCAGGTTGCAGCCTTGCGGGCTCCGAGCGCGCTCCGAGCTCGGATTGCCTTGGTCCATTGGTGTGTACTTCGACTGCCGCCATCGACGGGACAAGTAGGGGGCGGACAGTCATCAGCTGACGGTGACACAAATATGATAACCCTTAGACCCCCAGACCTAGCACCCACACCCGCACACCAGGGCAGCACCCACACCCTATCGCTGCACACCCATCTCACACACACACACAATGCATACACACGCACGTGCGCCCGTCCACCAGCGCGCATGCGCTTACATTGAAGCGCTCAGAGATTGTGAAACAAGCAAGATAAGGCCCTTGAACTAGGGCCCCTTAATGCAATCAAACTCAGCATGGTTTTGGGTGCATTGCCTTTTCTTCCAGGTGCAGAATGGCACTTGCT